CTTTGAGTATGATGTTAGCTATATGATTTTTTTTTTTTTTTTTTTAATCCTCACTGGAGGACATTTTTCCATTCTTTGTTCAGATAGAGCGGGAGGGAGGGACTGGGGGAGAGAGAGAGAGAGAGAGAGAGAGAGAGAGAAACATCGACATGAAAGGTACACATTGAGGAGTCGCCACCCGCACGACCCAACCAGGGCTGGGGACAAATTGCAACCGAGGTACATGCCCTTAGCGGGAACCGAACCCGGGTCTCTCCGGACCACAGGCAACGCTCTAACCGCTGAGCCAAACCGGCCAGGGCAGTTATATGATTTTTATATGTGGTCTTTATTATGTCAAAATATGATCCCTCTATTCCCACAATGCTGAGCGTTTTTATCAGAAATGGGTGCTATATTTTGTCGAATGCTTTTTCAGCGTCTATTGATACGATCATATGGTTTTTATCTTTCATTTTTTTTATGTGGTGTATCACATTTGATTTTCGAATATTGTACTATCCTTGCATCTCTGGGATGAATCCCACTTGGTTATGGTGAATAATTTGTTTTAAATGTATTGGTAGATTTGATTTGCTAATACTTTGTTAAGGATTTTGGCATCTATGTTCATCAAGGGTGTTGGCCTATAGTGTTCCTTCTTTGTAGTGTCTTTATCTGGTTTTGAAATTAAAATTATGCTGGCCTTATAAAATGAGTTTGGAAGTCTTTTTTGTTCTTGACTTTTGGAATAGTTTGAGGAGAATGGGTGTTAGTTCTTTGAATGTTCGGTTAAGCTGCCCGGGCCCAGGCTTTTGTGTGCTGGGAGAATCTTCAATTTCCTTAGTTGTTACTGGTCTGTTCAAGTTTTCTATCTCTTTTTAGTTCAGTTTTGGAGACTATGTGTTTCTAGAAATTTGTCCATTTCATCTAGATTGTCCAATTTGTTGGCGTATAATTGTTAATGGTATTTGTTAATGATCCTTTGTATTTCTGTGGTTTCAGTTGTTACCTCTCCTCTTTCATTTCTGATTTTGTTTATTTGGGTCCTCTCTCTGTGTTTGCTTTTTTTTTTTTATCCTCACCCAATGACATTTTTGCCTTTATTTTCACATAGAGTGGGAGGGACAGAGAGAAGGAGAAACATCGATATGAGAGAGAAACATCGATGTGAGAGAGACACATTGACTGGCTGCCACCCACATAACCCCAACCGGAGCCAGGGACAAACTACAACCGAGGTACGTACCCTTTGCAGGAACTGAACCCGGTCTCTCTGGTCTGCGGGCCAATGCTCTAACCGCTGAGCAAAACCAGCCAGAGCTCTCTTTATTTCTTGTTGAGTCTAGCTAAGGTTCCATCAATCTTGTTTACCTTTTCAAAGAACCAGCTCTTTTATTTCATTGATCTTTTGAATTGTTTTTTTAGTCTCTGTCATTTATTTCTGCTCTGATCTTTACCATTTATTTCCTTCTACTTTCTAGTTTTTTAAGTTGTGAGGTTAGATAGTCAATTAGACATTTTTCTTGTTTCCTGAGGTAGGCCTGTAGTGCTATGAACTTCCCTCTCAGGACTGCTTTCACTGCATCCCGTAGATTTTGTGTTGTGTGTTCCTTTTCATTGGTTTCCAGGAAGTTTTGAATTTCTTTCTTGATCTGCTTGGTAACCCATTTATTGTTTAATAACATGCTATTTAGCCTCCATGTGTTTAAATGTTTTTTTGCGTGTTTTTGTTGTAATTGATTTCTAGTTTCAAGCATTGTGATCTGAAAAGATGCTTGATATGATTTCAGTCTTTTTGAACGTGTAGAGATTTAGTGTCCTAACATGTGGTGTCTTTGAGAATGTCCCATGTGCATTTGAGAAGAATGTGAATTCTGCAGTTTTGGGGAGTAATTCTCTGTTGATATCTATTAAATCCATTTGATCTAGTGAATCATTTAGAGTCTCTGTATCCTTGCTAATGTTTTGTCTAGAGGATCTATCCAGTGATGTCAGCAGGGTGTTGAAGTCCCCTGCTATGATTGTATTGCTGTTGATTTCTCCTTTGAAGTCCTCCATAAGATTTTTAATGTATTTAGATGCTCCTATGTTGGGTGCATATATGTTTACCAAGGTTATATCTTCCTGTTGGATAGATCCTTTCAATATTATGTAGTGGCTTTCTTTGTCTCTAGTTATTGCCTTTATTTTATCAAATATGAGTATTGCTACCCCAGCTCTTTTTTCCTTTCTGTTTGCTTGAAAGATTTTTTTTCCATCCCTTCACTTTCAACCAATGTGAGTCTTTTGTTGTGAGGTGGGTCTCTTGTAAACAACATATCTGTGAGTCATGCTTTCTTATCCAATTAGCTAATCTTTGTTTTTTGATCAGAGCATTCAGTCTATTTATATTAAAGTTATTTTTGACATGTACTTATTTATTGCCATTTTTGTTTATTGTGGGTATATTTTTCTTCCTATTTCTTTTACTAATTACAGCAGTCCTTTTAATATTTCTTGCAGTGCTGGTTTGGTGCTAATATATTCCTTTAGCTTTTTTTTTTTTTGTCTGGGAAACTCTTTATTTGACCTTCTATTTTGAATGACAGCCTTGCTGGATAGAGTAGTCTTGGATTCAGATCCTTGTTTTTCATGACCTTGATTACTTCATGCCATTCCCTTCTGGCCTGTAGTGTTTCTTGTGAGAAGTCAGCTGAGAGCCTTATGGGGGTTTCTTTGTAGGTAACCTGTTGCTTATCTCTTGCTGCTTTTAGGATTCTCTCTTTGTCTTTAATTTTTGGCATTTTAATTATTATGTGTCTTGGTCTGGACTTGTTTGGGTTCTTCTTACTTGGGACTCTCTGTGCTTCTTGTCCCTGTATACCTTCTATCTTTACCAAGTTAGGGAATTTTTCTGTCACTCTTTCTTCAAATATATTCTCTAACCCTTGCACATTTTCTACTTCTTCTGGAACTGCTATGATGCAGATGTTGTTATGTTCATATTGTCCTACAGTTCTCTTAGGTTGTCTTCCTGTCTTTTAATTGTTTTTTCTTTTTGATTCTCTGATTGGGTGATGTTTTTTCTACTCTGTCTTCTAATTTACTGATTCAATCCTCAGCCTCTTCTACTTTGCTGATTATTATTTCCAGTGTGTGTGTGTTTTTTTAATCCTCACCCAAGGACATTTTTGTATTTATCCTCAGACGGAGTAAGAGGGTGAGAGGGGGGGAAGAGAGAGAAACATCGACATGAGAGAGACACATTGACGTGAGAAAGACACATCGAGTGGTTGCCACCCACACGACCCCAACCAGGGCCAGGGACAAACTGCAACTGAGGTATGCACCCTTAGCCGAAACCGAACCCGGGACTCTCTGGTCCGCAGGCTGATGTTCCCACCGCTAAGCCAATCTGGCCTGGGCCCAATGTGTTCTTTATTTCTACTGTGTCATTCTTCATTTCCAATTGGTTGTTTTTCAGTGCTTCTATATCTTTACTTATGCTGTTGAGCTTCCTCATGATTATTACTCTGAACTGTCCCTCTGATATCTTGCTCAATCCCTTTTGTTTATTTCATCTTTTGTCAAATTATCCTGTTCTTTCATTTGGGATTTGTTCCTTTGTTTCATCATTTTGGCTATCTCAGTGGGTTTTGGAGCCTGACATTTTCCCTGTGGATGTTGGTGTTCCACTGGTTGTGACTCCCTCTCCTGGGTTTGGATGAGCGTGGGAGGTCCCACATTAAACACCACTGTCAAGTCTTACTTTCCTTGTTAGATTTGCAAGCCCAGGAAAGGTTCAGTTACCCTCTAGTTTTTTCCTGGAGGCTATTAGTCTCAGTTACTTGGGTTGAAGCGCTCAGCTGAATGAAAAAAAAAAACCCTCAGGTGTTCATGGTAAGAAGATTTCCTGAGGGTGGGGTAGATGCTTGTTGGATGTGAAGGAGCCTCAATTTGCATTTTTCTGGCCTGGTGGGTGGTGTTAAATTCCTGAGGGAGGGGCTCTTGCTCCCCCCTGGGGCTCTGGGAAGGGACTCTTGGTGTAAGATGGCCATTGTCCTTTGAGAGAGTGATACAGCACAAAACTCCCATTGCCCTCCCAGCTCTCCAAGCTTCGTTGTCTTTCCACACAGTTCCAGTCCCGTCTGCCCTCCAACTGCTGGGGCCCAAGGTGAATGGTTTCAGCTAATGCAGGGCTCTGTCTTGGCCTCTGCACTGTGGAGCTGCTGTTGATGGGCTCCCAGCCGCCCTGTTGCTCCTTCGCAGACCTGCCAGGCTGGATTTCATGTCCCCTTTCTGACCACGGTTATATGTATCCTCTCCAGCTGCTTTTCTGTTGTTTTTTTCTGAAGATTTGTCTTTATTTTTGTTGTAATTCCGGTTTGGTCCTGGGAGATGGTCTGTGTAGCTTCCATTCACTCCATCACCATTTTGGAATCCCCTGATTGGGTGTTTTCTGCTTCCTTATATTCCAAATTGATGATTTGCTTCTTGGCTTCATCTACTCTACTATTGATTCCCTGTAAATTATTATTTTTTTTTTATCCTCATCTGAGTACATTTTTTGATATTTTGTTCAGATAGAGTGGGAGGGGAGAGAGAGAGAGAAACATCGATGTGAAAGGGACACATCGAGTGGCTGCCACCCCCACAACCCAAACAGGGCCGGGGACAAACTGCAACCCAGGTACATGCCCTTAGCGGGAACCGAACCCGGTTCTCTCTGGACCGCAGGCCAACGCTCTAACTGCTGAGCCAAAGTGGCCAGAGCAAGTTTTTTAATTTTTAAAAATATTTTTCTTTATTGATTTTAGAGAGAGAGGAAATGAGAGGCAGAGAGAGATAGAAACAGCAATGAGTGAGAACATTGATTGGCTGTCTCCTGCATGACCCCCACTGGTGGTTTGGCCCACAGCCTGGGCATGTGCCCTGACTGGGAATGGAACTGGTGACCTCCTGGTGCATGGGTCAACGCTCAACCACTGAGCCATACTGGCTGGGCTAAAAAAATTTTTTTTTAATTGAACTTTTTTTCACATTAGACTGGTAATGTACCGAAGTTGTAACAAGGTTTGTGGGAGGGACATCTCACACAAGTACATGAACACCCAGTCATCCATCACACTTCTTAACTATGAATGGATATTTTGTTGTTAATTTTATGTATTGATTTTATAGAGAGAGGAATGGAGTGAGAGACAGACAAACATCAATTTGTTGTTCCACTTATTTATGCATGCATTGGTTGCTTCTTGTGTGTGCCCTGACCAGAGATTGAACTCGCAACCTTGGAGTCTCAGGACGATGCTCTAATCACCGGCGCTTCCCGGTCAGGGCTGGAATATCTGTAATAACTGCTCTTTCCAAATCGGTCCAGTGAAGGTCATGCATTTGGTGGTTAGGTTTCTTTTTTTATATATGTATATATTTTTTAGAGAGAGAGAGGAAGGGAGAAAGAAAGAACAAGAGAGAGGAAGGGAGTAAGAAAGAGAGAGAGAAGCGTCGATTTGCTGTTACACTTATTTATGCATTCTTTTTTTTTGTGGTACATGCCCCTAGTAGGAACCGAACCCAGGACTCTCTGGTCCACAGGCCGATGCTCAACCGCTGAGCTAAACTGGCCAGGGCATATTTATGCATTCTTCTTTGTGCCCTGCCCAGGGATCAAACTCGCATCCTTGGTATCAGATGATGCCAACTGAGCTACCCAGCCAGGGCTGGTTGTTAGGTTTGTAAGTTTGTTTCATTTACTCTCTTTCTGTCTCATCTTGTTCCATCTCCTACATTTTGAGTGCATCTGATCCGTATCTTGTGGAGTTAAGCTCTTCTGTGCCCTGTGCTTTCTTTTTTTTTTTCTTCCAAATTTTATTAATTTATTTTTGTTACAGATGTTTCTCCTTTTTCCCCCAGACACCCTCCTCCCCATCCCCCCTCCCACCATTGTTGTCTATGTCCATTGGTTATGCATACATGCATATAAGTTCTTTGGTTCATCTTACCCCTTTCTCTGAGGTTTGTCAGTCTGAACAATACTCCTTTCTACAGCTCTGGGTCTGTTTTGTTCATCACCTTATTTTGCTCATTATATTCCACAAATAAGTGAGATCATGTGGTATTTGTCTTTTTCTGATTGGCTTATTTCGCTTAGCATAATACTCTCGAGGTCTCTCCATGATGTCTCAAAAGATAAGAGATCTTTCTTTCTTACAGCTGCATAGTGTTCCGTTGTGTAAATGTACCACAGGTTTTTTTTTTTTTTATGTGCCCCTAGCAGGAACCGAACCCGGCACTCTCTGGTCCACAGGCCGACGCTTCAACTGCTGAGCCAGACTGGCTAGGGCTATACCACAGCCTTTTATCCACTGATGGGCACTTGGGCTGTTTTCCAGATTTTAGGGATTGTAAATAGTGCTTTGGGGTACATATATTCTTTCGATTGGTGTTTCAGGCTTCTCATGGTGTATTCCTAGAAGTGGGATTACTGGGTCAAATGCAAGTTCAATTTTTAAGTTTTTGAGGTAACACCATACTGTTTTCCACAGTGGCTGCACCAGTCTGCATTCCCACCAGCAGTGTATTAGCGTCTCCTTTTCTCACACACTCGCCAGCACTTGTTTGATGATCCTGTGCTTTCTTTAAAGTGCAAGTTTTGGGGGTAAAGCTTGTCCAGACCCCGAGCGAGCAGATGTGGTGGTAGCACCTCGGGTGGTGATGTGCACCCCCTGGGGTCCTGTCCCGGGGCCCGGGGCCAGTCTTGGACCTCTCACTGCAGACCGCTCTCTGCAGCAGCCCTTTGTCTAATGCCCAGCAGCTCTGCTGGCCCCTTCCAGAATCAGTCGTTTCACTGGGGACGGCAAAATGGTGATACTTGGGTCTTTTTTATATAAAGAAGAGCTTTTCCTCAATAACTAGAAATGAGCTACAATTCCTTGTTAGCAAGTAAGGTAAATGTTTATTTCCTTTTAATTACTACTTTTCAGTGTAAGGAGTTAGGTGTAATAGTCACCTCACTGGCGACAAGTTTTTCCCCCCATTCTCTGTGTGCATGTATGTGTGTCACACGACTCGTGAATTTTTATCTTTCAGTATTTTGTAACTGCATGTCATTATTCTTTTTGTTGCACAATTTCCATTATATTTTTGCCCGTGTTTTATAAAGACGTCCCTCTGCTTCACCATCAGGCGGAAGGAGTCTTCGATCGCGGTACTCAGATTAGGTCGTGAGCATAAACTCTGTTTCAAGTCTTCACAGAACAAGGAAGGAAGCCCAAGCCGTCGCATGGAAGCGGAGCCCCAGGGGCGGTTTCGGGGGTTTTCTCATTGCAGTAGGAAAGCTTGTCTCACAAGGAAGCGTCTGGTGATAGCTGGGAAAGGCCTTAAGGATGTGGCCAGTCTTCTGTCATCTACAGTGTGTCCTGAAAAGCGTGTGTCAAAAGAAACGTGTAGAAGCCAAATGGCACATGGTAGGAGGGGAGGGTGTTCCCAGATTGCCCAACGCCCCTCCTCCCACCTTGCCTCACAGCCACTCTGATGCTGCCCTTCCAGCGTCTTGTGTACATTGCTTTTCCCCTTCCCTAACTTTAGTCATGCGGTTTGCGACAGGGAGCATCTGCCTAGAGTGAAGGTCACCTACTGCTGGCACTTTTCAGTGGTTTCCATTTGTCTCAGTTGCTTTCTTTTTGAGACCTTGGCTTCTAAATGCTGGTATCGGCCTTTGTTTTCTTCTTTTCACTAACTCGGATATAATATTAAGAGCAAAATATGAAATATTCAAATAATTGCCTAATGCGTTGGTCTTGACAAAGGCGGCCTTCCAGTGGGAGGCCCCTCCGGCTCCAGGTGTGCTGGCGGGGGAGTCTCGTCTCCGGGGTAGGGAGACACCTCACTCCTAGGGGTAGGGTCGGGAGGAGAGGAGCTTGCCATGCCAGCAAGAGGATCTGACCGCCCGGTGCTGACCCAGGTCCCCGAGCTGCGGAAGAAATCCCGCCGAGAGTACCTGGCCAAGCGGGAGCGGGAGAAGCTGGAGGACCTGGAGGCGGAGCTGGCGGACGAGGAATTCCTTTTTGGGGACGTGGAGCTGAGCCAGCACGAGCGGCGGGAGCTCAAATACAAGCGGCGTGTGCGGGATCTGGCCCGGGAGTACCGGGCGGCCGGGGAGCAAGAGAAGCTGGAGGCCACCAATCGCTACCACATGCCAGAGGAGACCCGAGGACAGGTGGGGCGAAGGGGTGCGCCTCAGCCCTGGCCCCAGGCTGGGGGGCGGGGTTGGCGTCGGGGAGGAGGGGCCTGGGCGGGAGGGCAGCCCCGCTCACCCCTTCCTCTGCAGCCCGCGCGAGCTGTGGACCTGGTGGAGGAGGAATCGGGTGCCCCCGGGGAGGAGCAGCGGCGCTGGGAGGAGGCCCGGCTGGGGGCTGCCTCCCTGAAGTTCGGGGCCCGAGATGCTGCCTCCCAGGAGCCCAAGTATCAGCTGGTCCTGGAGGAAGAGGAGACCATCGAGTTTGTCCGGGCCACTCAGCTGCAGGGTGATGAGGTGAGAGGCCGGGACCTGGTGGGGAGCACAGGGAACTGGCCCCGAAACTCATGCGCCCCTTTCCCCTGCCCAGGAGCCGGCAGCCCCACCCCCTTCCACCCAGGCCCAGCAGAAGGAGTCCATCCAGGCCGTCCGCCGCAGCCTCCCCGTGTTCCCCTTCCGGGAGGAGCTCCTGGCTGCCATCGCTGACCATCAGGTCCTCATCATCGAGGGCGAGACAGGCTCCGGGAAGACCACCCAGATCCCGCAGTATCTCTTTGAGGAGGTGCGGCATCCACAGCGCAGGTGTTTGGTCCTGCCCATGCACTAGCACTGCCCTGTCAGAGCCCTGGACCTGATATTTTCAGTAGTTGCCCACCTCTCCATTTTACTTAATTTATTTTGTATATGTTTTTATTGATTTTTTGTTTTAGAGAGAGAGAGAAATATCAGTGTAAGAGAAATATCCATCAGCTGCCTCCTGCACGCCCCCTACTGGGGATCGAGCCCGCAGCCTCGGCATGTGCCCTGATTGAACCACGGTCTCTCAGTCCACCGAAGGACACTCAGTCCATTAGGCTGGGCTCACCTCTCCATTTCAGTAATTTCCTCTCTTCCACTAAATGGTGAGGTTCTTGAGAATATGGACTGTATCTTTTTCACATTTCTGTTCTCACTTCCTGCCACAGTACCCCTGATGGTAGGCGTTCTGTGTGCTTATATTGGAAGGGAGTGTATGGGTGGGTGGGTGTGAATGTGGGCCTTTTGCTTCAGTTCTGCTTGACCTCTGCTCCTCTGCTTCGTCCCAAAATGCAAAGTGGAAGGACTTGTGCTATTATTTTGCCTCACTTTGTTCCCACGGCTTCTGAGTCAGCCCCGCCTATGCTGTCCTTTTGCAGCTCAAACTAGCTGAGCCCAGAACTTGGTTCCCCAAAGGGCTGGGACTGCTAGGGCTGGTTGAAGACCCATTTGAGGGCCCTGGGTCGGCCATCCTATCTGTTTGCCCTCCTTGTCTGGATTTCAGCTTCTGTCTGTTCCCTCCTATCCCCCTGCCCTACCCTGTGTTTACAACTCTTTTCTCTGAACTGTCCTGGGCCTCAGGGCTATAGTTAGCAAAGGGAAGACCTCTTCTTTTTTTTTTTTTTTTCCTCACCCGAGGATATTTTTCCATTTATTGTACAGATAGAGTGGGAGGGAGAGAGAGGAAGGGGGAGAGAGAGAGAAACATCGACGCGAAGGGACACATCGAGTGGCTGCCACCCACACGACCAACCAGGGCCGGGGACAAACTGCAACCGAAGTACGTGCCCTTAGCGGGAATTGAACCCGGGTCTCTACGGACCGCAGGCCGACGCTCTAACCGCTGAGCCAAACCGGCCAGGGCTCTTCTTTTTTTTTTAAATTGATTTGAGAGAAACATGGATCCACTCATTCATACATTCATTGGTTGACTCTAGTATGTGCCCTGACCAGGGATTGAACCTACAACCTTGCTGTATCAGAACAATGCTCTAACCAACTGCACTGTTCTTTCTCTGTCATTCAGGGGTATACAAAGAAGGGTATGAAGATTGCCTGCACTCAGCCCAGGAGAGTGGCAGCCATGAGTGTGGCCGCCCGAGTGGCCCGGGAGAT